CCTCCTCCAGTCCACAGTCAGCTCTCAGCCTCTCTCCTTCTGAAGGCTCTTCAAACACACACAGAGAGAGCTAGTTTTCCATGGGGCTGACGGCCCATTCCCATGCAGCTCATCTGTGCTGAGCGGTGGCTACCACAGCCGCTACGAGCAGCTCTAAGTCTCTCGGGGCTGGAAAGGCAGAGCAGCAGAGCAGACAGCAAGAGCTAGCTGCTTTCTCCTGTGGGGACCAACATCAGCAGGAAGGCATGTCACCTAATGCTCTTGCGGGTCTCATGGTGACCACCTGACAGCAGAAGACAGCTAGGATGCCTGGATAGCCTTTCACACCTGGGACAGACCCTTTCATCAACATCACTGCCATAAAGCATGCTCCTGCATCATTCCAAGTCCTAGTCTCCATCCCATTTATCCTCCTCTGCTGACTAATTTCTATTCTGACTTCCCAGTTTTACTTGGTGAACAGCTACTCAATAGTACTTTATCAGAGCTACTAAACAGCACACTCACATGAATATCACTTCCTCGAAAGTTTCAAAACGTTCCCCACCCCTCCCCGCAACAGAGTGGAGAATGTCTCAGATAAGAAGGCTGAGAGAACCATGTAAATTTTAAATGACTAAGCAGCCTCTTTCCCTAGCCCTCTTCTCAGAAACAGATGAACAACTTGGGGATGACACTTCCCAAAAGTATTTGGTGAAGAGTTTCAGCCCAATCTGGTGTGAGGATGAGATTACACAAGACTGCAGACAGGGAGTATTAATGGAACGTGCCAGCAAGCTGGCAAAGTGGTTATCAGCTCTGTCAGAAGGGCTCTGCACTAAGGGCAGAACCTCTGCTAACAGCAGATGTGCTTCTGAAAGCAGCCAAGTTCTGTAAATTGGCCTCTAAGTGAACAAAGAGCCCAAGCAAACATCACATGGTGAAGCACACTCATTGTCACTACTTCTGACAAGCACAGATTTTGGTGGCGCAGAAGCCCGGAGTGGTTGTAACAACTCCCAAGGAACATGAGCAAGTGAGCTCCGGGATGTTTTCCCCGTACTCCAGGCAGAGATCAGAGTGCCTGACGGTGTGGTGGAAGTACTTCAACAAAAACAGGCAGTCTTCCCAGCCAGGTGAGCCATTTTGCTCTGGCAGGAGCCCTCCACTTGTGACACGGTGGTACACAGTGCCCACACCACCCAGCTGAACCACGTTGTACAGAGACCCAGCGCACCCGTGTGCCTCACCCCCCGCACAGGCGCTGCTCCCTGCAGCTTCTACCAGACCCACGGCACCCCACTGCATGGGGGGGAAGCACTGCTGGCCCCCAGGGAAGAGGGAGAGCAGGCTGCTACTATGGGATTTGTTGAACTAGGCTACAGGCTACTCCTCAAACCAGGTTAAAATCTGGCTGCCAATGAACTGCAGGCAAGGCAATCACTCTCACGGGCTAACCAGTGACTTTTCATCAAGTGCTTACCAGCCCCCAAACCCACAAGGCACTAAGCACTTTATGCAAGCTGCTTGCCTGTCAGACACAGGAGACATCAGAACAGGGCCGATCATTCCCTTGGCTGTGCTCACAGACAGTGCCCAAGCATGAGAAGTAACAAATAATTCACACCCCAAAGCCTCTGGCAACTATCAGTAACGGCTTGAGGGGTCTATTCCTCACTGAAAACACAGTGGCATTTCTCTTGCATTTGAGGCTCATTAAATGCTGCCCACCCACCACCTCTCAATGCTCATGGACTGCTTTTTGGTCACCATACCCTTAAAGGCTCCACTTCAGTGGGGCCCTTTGCAGATTTAATCGGGAATTAAAATTTGATTGTCCTGGGCTGCTCACTCATCCACCTGGGAGTACAGACAAAAAGGCACACAGAGGACCCATGACTTTCTTGTCACACTGTCCCAGCAAGTTCCTCTTGCCTGCCAGAGGCACAGACATCAGTGTCAGAGAAGAAACTCGGCTCCAATATACATGGATCTTCCAGCTTTTATTCAAGTATGCAGTTCTCTAAGCCTGCACTTGTTATGAGGTGCTATGGCATCTGTGAACTATGGCTAAACACACTTCCACATGTTGGTTTCTGGGCATGGATACTTTACTAGCTCTTAAGCTAAAACATCTGAAGCTTGCACTTAAAATTTTGGCCCACATAAGCCCTAAGCAAGCTCACTGTTACCAGGCTTGCCTGCAGTGTGTCCTCAAAGCCAAGATACTGCCCTTCCCAAATGTTTTAAAGCAGTGGTTTTCAACCTCTGAAACAACCATTTGAGAGTTTTTGGTCAAAGAGCCATTTTATAAGTTTTAGCAGCTAGGAAAAAAGGGTAAGACTCAGTATGCTGGTTTGACTGAGATAGAGTCAATTTTTTCCATAGTAGCTAGTATGGGGCTATGTTTTAGATTTGTGCTGAAAACAGTGTTGTTAAAACAGGATGTTTTCATTACTGCTGAGCAGTGCTTACACCGAGTCAAGGCCTTTTCTGCTTCTTGCATCACCCTGCCAAAAAGTAGACTGGGGGTACACAAGAAGTTGGGAGGGGACACAGCTGGGACAGCTGACCCCAGCTGACCAAGGGGATATTCATCCCATATGATGTCAGGCTCAGCAATAAAAAGCTGGGGAAAGGAGAAAGTGGGGACATTCGGAGTTACAGCATTTTGTCTTCCCAAGTAAGGGAAGATTCCCAAGTGCACATGACGGAGTCCGGCTTTCCTGGAGACAGCTGAACACCTGCATGCTGATGGGAAGTAGTGACTTAATTCCTTGGTTTGCTTTGCTTGCATGCATGGCTTTTGCTTTACCTAAAACCATCTTTATCGCAACCCACGCATTTTCTCACTTTTACTCTTCTGATTCTCTCCCCCATCTCACCAAGGGGGGAGTGAGCGAGTGGCTGTGTGGGGCTTAGTTGCTGGCTGGGGTTAAACCAGACAGTACTAGCTACTGACATAATGCTCTTTTACAAATTGCTTTGCTAAATACCTGGTTTGGTTTAGCACTATAGTCTAAAGCCTTCTCCTGTCTGGGGCTGTCAAGTCAATAACAGTCAGCTGTAAATTAAAAAATCATTAAAACTGAATATCAATTTTGCAAACTGAAGCTTAAATGCTTCCCCATATGGGGGGCCCTATTTCCCTCCAAGGCTCATGGGGCACCCAAAGTTGATGGGAGTGGAAGGAGAGCTGGGGACTGCCAGGAGGAGGAGGGGACAGGTATCATTTCCAGAGGAGGTGGGAAATGAAAGAACCTCTAGAATTGATGGGAATGGAAACAGAGATGGGAAAAGCCACTTAAAATTCCAACTGTGACTCAGTTTTAATCTAGCTGATAGAGCAAGGGGAAGGAGAGAGCAAACAACAGCAGTCACAGTTACAAACCAGAATCAACCCCTGCCTCCTCACACATACACTTCTGTTGGAAGGCACCAACAATCCTCCAATAGCTGGCAGGTAACAGGAGACTTGTTAATATCCAGTTCACAGACCTCCTTCTGCAGCCTCACTGGCAACAGTGCAGCAGCAGCATTGCTTTGCATTGGTTTGAAATGCTATCAACAGAAAAAGTAACTTTTGAAACTAAAAAGAGAGCTATGTGCCATAGTCCAAACATAGCCAGGGAGGCAGGTGATAAAAACCCCTGCAGGGACAAGGTGCACGCAAAGTGGAGTATTTGCAGTGGAGGCTCCAGACCACGCTCTCCCACTTACTGCTGATGGTTGCAGGGCTGGGGGGGGCTCCCAAAACTGTTAACTGCAAATCCCAAGCTCAACCTAGCAGCAAGGTGACACAGAGAAGAGCCTGCCTGCAGTTTCACAGGCAGTGAATGGGATCTGCACGGGGTGCAGGCAGAGGGGTTTGCAGGACCTTGCTCTGATCTTCCAGGTTGGACCTGAGCTGTGCCAACACCCTCCTAGGTGGTCCTGCAGCACCCGTAGGCTGCTCCTGCCAACACAACTCACACATATTTAGATAGATTAAACCATCTTCTAAAACAAACCATTACAGCCTTTTGTACTGTATCTCACTGGTTTACTTATTCCTCTTTGGGGATGTTCTCTTGAATTCTGAGGTCAGAAGATGGCCTGGTCCAAGCTACCCTTGTTCCCCACATTTAAAGGCTTCATTATAGGTAGCTGCTATAAACTTGGGGGGCAAAAGGAAGTCTGAAATGTGAGCACAGCAGACTGCCTACACAGAGGAATGAAGAGAGCCTTGTGATTAAAAAAAAAAAAAAAAAAAAAAAAAAAATATCAAAAATCCCTCAACCAACCAAAAAAACTCAAACCAAAACCAACACACCAACCAGAGCTTTGATTGTATCTTCCAACTCTGGGAGGCTGATGGACCCATCAGGAACCTGGTCCCCCTACAGTCAATGCAAAGAGGAACATAAGGACTGGCTGAGCCATGTCCTGCTTTCTCCTTTCACTGGGGGAACATGTCAGCAGCAGAGCTATCACAGCTCAGCAGGAAGGAGCGAGACCCAAAGGCTCTGAAGCACACATCAATATTAGTCAAGGGAGGATGGGTCTTTTACGAACAGTACCGGCAAGTGCCACATCTCACTTTTCAGAGCAGAACTTGAGAAGGAAGTCACACGCAAGAGAGGTGCACTAATGCAGCTCTGTGAGATAAGATTTAAACTAACAAGAAAAAAAGAGTATTTCCAAGAGCTTCATATCTCAGTTGGTCATGTGGTAACTTCTGCATTTCAGTGCTCAGGCACTGAAGTGTATCTACAAGTGCAATACTTCCCAGAGTCCGACAGCCTGCCATTGGTAGTTAGCATGGGGGGGATTCACAGGTAAGAGCTGCCCCAAACATCACTACCACATTTTTCCAATTATGTCACTTGGTCTCATAAGAGACTTGATCTCTTGAAACAAATTGGGTTTTGTGAGTGCTGAGGTACTGTGAGGAAGAGGAGACAGCAAGAACCACAAGGACAAATCAGTAATTTTCTCTCAAATGGTAAGGAAATAAAAGTGAAGCAGGAAGAAAGCAGTACCTCTGTCAAAGGTCTTGGTCTTCTCTCTACAACAAATTCTGTGTGGCAGAGCTCACAGTAACTTGTGTTGGAGGAGGATAACCATTTTTCCAGGCAGCTCTTGTGCACGGTGCCCAGTGTTCCTGTGCAGTCACACGGGGAAAGCAGTCCCTCCCCATTTCCACCTTCATGACAGATTCGACAGATGGGACCGTCACTAAAGAGGCAGACAAACAGAATGAAATCACGATCAGAGCAGGCAGAACGTTAAAGCCATGTCAGAGAACGGGGTCCAATCCCACCAAGCCCCAGAAGGGCATGCACAGAGCAAGAAGTGCATGGCAGAACATGCCAGGCATGCTGTGACTCCCCAAAGCAGCCTGATGCAGCAAGAAACCAGTCTCAGGGGAGTGTGGAGGCGCCTAGGACATTTTATGTCAGCAAAATCTGGAAGCTGTGTTGATGAGCACCACAACACCCAAGAGACACTGACATGTCAGCCTGGCCAGCTCAGCTGGCCACAGAAGGGACTGCAGAATGCGTGTCCCTCAGTTTCCAGCTCTGCTCGTGGCAAACAGAGAGGCCGACACCGGACCTGAAACCAACCCTGAAGCACTGATGCAGCTCCAGAAGCCCAAAGCAAAGCCAGACGATCCACACTAGTCACAGTGTGCCCCCACCCACCTGGAGCCACTCAAGAAGTTTGCAATCATAGTTGCATTTATGAGATCATCTCCCCACTCTCACCCCACCTCTGCTTTGCATCCTGGGTTTAGCAGTAACTGCATAAGGTCATCTACATTGACCCTGGAAGCTCAGCTCTCCAAGGACACAACATATTTCATGGCAAGCAGTCACCCAGACTAAGTTCTCGGCATACAAATCCTCTGCCCATCACTTCCTCAGCATGCCATCTGCACACCACCACACAGAACACCATTCTCCAGCATTCGGGCCTTGAACTGGCTGCAAAACTGCCTCGGTGCTTCGACAACCGCCACTTCTCACCCCTTCCTTGGCCAGAAGTCTCAACTACAGAATCCTCACCCCCTGCTTGGCTTGAAGTTTCAACTACAGAATCACGTCTCTTTGATCATGCTCAAGACCTGCTCTCCTCGGACCTCACAGAACCAGATATGTTTATCAAGGGAAGTATCAAACGCTTTGAGACACTTGCAGCCTTCCCCACAGGAGGCCTGCATTGCTGACTGCACTTGAATCGCCCATTTGCTCCCAAGATGTTCCCTCATGGATCCAACTGGTTCCACTGACTGTTAACTATTAGTGGTACTGCTCCAGCATCCAGCAACCATTAGCTCAAGTGTATCAGATTATATTTATGAGACAAATTTCCATCACAGGCTAAGGTCATTTTTTTTGCACCTACATAAACTCAGAGCATCCAGCGTCCTTCTGTAGCAAGGACTTTCTCTAGCTGCACAAAGAACCAAGTCCTCTTCACCTTTTGTATACTATCCCCCAATTCTTGTCCTGTAAAGGACAAGGTTTTTTCCACACTCCCCCAGATTTACAGACCTCCATCATAGCCTCAGTCACCTCCTTCACGAGCATGAGACCTAGCCTATCCAGTCATACCTTAGACAGAAACACATCCACCTTTCTGATCACTTTCACTACCCCTCCCTCTGCCACTTACATTTCTAGAACATCCTTCTAGAGCTGCAGAGACCAGAGCTATGATTTTCAAGATGCGGGCACACCAGGTATTTTTGCAGTAACTGTGTTCTCTTCATTGCTTTCCTAAATCTTAGCATCTTATTTGCTTTTTGGTCACTGCTGCATGTAACTGTCACATGCCCAAGATCTCCTTCCTCCAAATCCACAAGCACATATGTAAATCCCAGACTGCTGTTCTTCCTCTACATCACTGCACATTGAACTGCAGCCATTATTTTAGCCTGCAGTCATTTCCAATAACATTTAGTTCCCTAAACTCAGGCATCTAGTGCCATTTTAGGTCCAAGGGCATTCCAGCTGGCATCTGAAGGCACAGGTTACCTAGAAGTCCTGTGCCACATCTGCCAGCCTCATAAACGAGGATGTTGGGCTCCCTGGGAAACCTCAAATGGCTTTAGACACAAAAGTTCACTATTCTTAGCAATTTAGTACATCTCTTCAATGTTCGCCATTCATCAAGATCATTTAGGAATAAAATGCTGGACAGCAGAGGCCCGGTGCAGGGCTGCCCTCCCTGGACCATGAAAACAAGCCATGCACTAGTATCTCACTTCTTTCTCACTTTCCAGCCAGCCTTTTCTTTCACACAACCTTACATCCATTCTCTTACATCCATAGTTTCACAGATTTGGGGATGGGAGAGAAGGTGAGAAAGGAGCATCTTTATTTCAAAGACTCTACTGCATGGCCTCTTGAAATCCAGGTGAGCTATACCAGATATCACCTTTTCCCACATATTGCTGATAGTACAAAAGCCACACTGATCCAATCTCACAGTTCATACTCCACTGCTATTCTGACTTTGAAAAAGAATGCCTGGCTGCAAAAGTTTGTGGGATTATAACACAACAGTCAGAACAAGCAATTTGCAATCTTCAAAAGCAGTAGTGCTACTTCCATTAGTTTGCACAACCAGACAAAACAGAAAGCAAGAGCAAGACATAGAAACAGTGCAAGGAAAAGGAGCATACTGGGGAAAAACACTGGTGGGACATTAAGAGAGAAGAGCCCACAAGAAAGTGCACATCAGCTCACTAAAGGAAAAGCAAGACTCCTCTCCTGGTGAACCATAGATGATCTCTACCACTTTCAACTCAGTGTTTATCACATTTCATCCCAGCTGGACTTTTTAATCATATTTAGGGCTGTGAAGCAATGTACACCCACTGCACCCATGCCCTTCTCTCTGCCAAACAACACTGGTGAACCACTGACCTTTGCTCTCTCCTCATTTTCACGTGCCTTTTATTTAGGGGCCTTCTTCAGCTGGGACAATCCCTGCAACAGGAGTCTAGAGAGGTGGTAGAAACTCCGTCCTCAGAGATATCAAAAACTGCATCAGACAAGGCTCTGTGCAGTCTGGGCCATCTTTGAAGTTAGCCTTGCTCTGAAAGGAGGCTGGACCAGATGTCCTCCAGAATTCCCTTCCAATCTGAATTATCTGATGATTCTGTAACCTTTACTGCCATAAAGCTCAGTGCTGTATCAGAACAACAGAATTACAGTCTGCTCACACAACCTTAGTGACAGACCAAGAAAACTCCAAGCCTCCAGTGCTCTCATACATCTGTTGTTTCCTAAGAAAAGCATCTGTAAGGTATTTCATCTGTTCTCTTCCTGTTCAAGAAGTTTCATATTTCCAGCACATTAATATAACCTTGGCTAGCAACAAACAATCCAGAAGGAAAAAATTTGCTGACAGTGTGAGAAAAAAAAAAATTCTTATCAGACTCCATTTTCCTTCCTTCCTATTCGGAGGGGGAGGGAGCCTGGTCACACTCCCACATAATACACCCTCAAACACAGTTTTCCAGCAGGCTGCATCAGTAATTTACCATTCCAGTACCATCATGCTGCTCCTGGCTTTGCTTTGCTAAATGCTGGTGACAAGGAAGAGACTGAAACCCACCACCACCAAAATGAACAAACTGGTGTCCCACAAAAACGTGGTTTTTTTTAACTTGTAATCCCAGGCAGTTTCCCCACCCAACTTTCACACCTCCACAAATTTTAAGGGGTTGCACAACTTCTCACCCAGCCTACCTGTTGTCAGAGAGCAAGCTCAATTCCCCTTGCATTTTTATTTACCTGCTCTAGGTTTGCTGCATATAGCAATTACATTTGCCTCCATTCTCATCTAGCTTTTCTGCTTTCCTCCCCCACATTTGCACTCACCACTTTCACACCTCATCAACATTTGGCCAAATTAATTGAAACTAATAACAGCTGTTCAGACAGGATTTGAACACAAAATGTGACTAGTCTCACTGGCTGGACTGAACAATGCTGCCAAGTGTCCTCTGCTCTGGAAGTGGCTCAAAATACATGGTAAGCCCCATCAGGAAGAGTCTGAGCAAGTGAAGCTGCCACACATCCCCTCTAGCAAGAGCTGGACACTGCAGTTCCTGCAACACAAACACCCTCCTCTCCCTGGGGCTCCAAACTGCCGCCCTGCCTCTACTCCAGGACCGTCATGGAACAGGGGCTCTGCTCCACTTTCAGCTCCTAATCATGTCCATGAACATCAGGCTGCTCTTGCTAGCGTGGTGTCTCACCTCCACTGCTGCTCAGCGCGGACTTGGCAGAGGCACATGGCAAGAGGCCGGCTGCTTCCATCTCACGCTGGAGCAGCTGCAGGCCTGGGGGATTCTGATGGACACGTGAGTCCCAACCCACCAGCACACGCAACCGGCATGAGCCCCTGGGAAGCATCTGGCTAACGAGGATTTGCACTCAATATTAGCGCCCTGGCAAACTCCTTCACAAACAAGACTTCGGTGACTCCCTCTATGCCCCGACTCACAAAAAAAAAGTAGGAAAAAAGCCCAGACGCAGCCATCCCAAGCCCTACCTCTGCGCACCCAGCGCCTTGATCACTGTTGAGAGGAGCCGTCCGTCCTTGGCGGTGACCTGTGTGACGTACTGAGGGCGGCCGATGTCAGAGTCCTCCACCGACTTGGAGAGCGCGGCGCTTCCCGGGCAGTCGCAGAGGGAGCCGGGGAGGTGGCAGCAGTCGCCCGTCGTCATGGCAGCTCCAGGCCCCTCTGCCCCGGGGACCTGCACTGATGGCACTGAAACCTGCGGGAATGGCACCACGGTGAGAGCCTGGTACCCTGGAACACCCAGCTGGGGCGCAGGGCCCCCCTCGCCACACTCCTCCAGCCCCACCTGGGCTGGCAGCACCCCAAGGCCCCAACAATCGTGGGCTTTGCTAGTGTTCTGTTCCCTTTAATAGGCTTTGTGAGGCTGCCTCACCATCAAATTAAGGCTTCTAGTGTCCTACTTACATAATTTAGTGTCAGAATTGCAAATCTGCCTTTCCCAGGGAGAATTCCTGGTACCCACCCTTTTATCTGATGAAGCCCTTCAAACCAAACATGCCAACACAGAGGTGAGGAAGGCAACCAGAAACACTACAGGCCCATGTCATTCTGGCTACAGCCGTCATCAAAAACTTATGTTCATATCCTCTGTAGAGGTTGCAAACTTTCACCTGAACACGGCACTTAAACCATTTTGCTTAGCCCCGTTGAGGGAGGCCCTTCTCAGCTGCATTCAGGTGCTTTCTGAGCCCTTTAAAGCCCATCCACCAAACTCAAAAGGCTTATACCCCCCACCCCATCTTTGATTTTACATTTTTTTATTTCTTTACAGAAATGCACATGCTTCCGTTTCCACATTCCATGTGGTACGTCCCAACAGTGAATGTGCAGGTATTAACCACCCTAAAGCACTAAAATCCTCCCAGAGCTCTACAGAAAGGGCAGCAGGCCAGTTTTCCTCCTTTCCCTTTCAACTGTTCAGACCAATCATGATTCTTCTAACAGCCACATGCAAACAGCAAAACACATCATCATATTTTCAGCACCTCTGCAATTTACTCAGCAAAGAGAACACAAGGAACAAGCAGTAAATGTGCAAGAATCAGGGAGAAGGTACAGAAAAAAAGCCCAACATGACAAACCAGGAGCTGGCTCAGAGAAGCCACATACAGATGGGAGAGATCTCTGCCTTTGAGGCAAGGCAGCAGCTCACCCAAGCTGCCAGCAACAGCCGTGTTCCTCCCTGGCAGGGGTTATCTCAATCCCAAAACCAGCCATGCTTTGCAAATTCAAAAAAATCCCATTTTCTCCCATCTCCTTTAGCCTGGTCCCTAAGAGACAGCTGTGCAGAAATAAGGAGCTAGGGTTACAATTAGTCACAAGCTGAACACAAGCCAACAACATCGTACTGCTGGTAAAGACCAAAATCCTTGTGTCTGTAAACAGGACTGCCTTATGTAAGGCATGCACAGTAATCCCTGTGCACCAGTACTGCTGGGATCATAGCTGGAACGGTGTCTCATCCTGGTGGCTGGATTTCAAGAGACAAATAGACCCATAGAAGAAGTTCAACTGAAAGCAATGAAAAGGTTAAAAGCAAAAAAACCCCACAAACAAAAATAACTCCAACCCCAAAACTTAGCAAAGAAGAAATATAAGAAGAATTAGGCTTGTTTAATTTAGGGAAAGTGTGGGGGGGAAATCTTCAATCTCCATCTCCTGGAGGTAGAAGCAGGCAAACAAACCTTCACCATTCCACCCAAATAAATGCTTTTTTGTTTTGAGATCTCTGCACAACAGAAGTCAAACGTTCCCATGAAACTGCAGTTTCATCAGGTTCAGCTAAGCCTAAATCAAACTAAAATAGCTAAAGAAAATAAGGGCTTGTTCCTGGTTGGAGGCTTGGCCAGACTACAGAGGAAGAAAACAAAAAGCACAAGTGTTCTTTCATGTCTTAGAAATTAAGCAACTCTTACACAACCAAGGGCTTCATCTGTCAGGACGGGTCCCTTCATGGTGAACGTGTTCAAGAGGGAAAGAACACTTTACTGGTTTCTGACCACTAGACACCAATTTTGGTAGCATCCCCTCAAGTTATAGAATATTTTCTAATTTCTAGTACAAAAGTTTCTAATATCTTTATTAAAGCTCCTCAATAGCTATCTGTAACCCTTCCTCTGCATCTGAACAGGAATAGGCTTGAGCTTGCAGGCAGGCAACTTAAGAATGAACTTATCAGACTCAGCATTGCCTTGACTCAGCTTCTCTTTCCACCTGTGCAAACAGCACACAGGGTTAGAGACACTTTTCTTATTGCTCTCCTTTTTTTTTTTAAAAAAAAAAAAAAAGCTACAAGCTCCCTAACTTTAAGGAGCAAAAGGTAAGATGATAAATGCTGGTGGAATGACTTAAGTCAGCTGTTTTGCAAGTTAAGGAGTTCTTTCAATTGTAAAAGCCTCTTACTGAACCAGAGATGAGAAGATATATGCTTTTAATAAAAAGGTCGGTTCCATTTTTTCAGCCAAAATATTGTTTAAGTCCAGAGGAAAAAGGTCCATTTTGCATATTGTAATAAAACTGCCCTCACTCCCTGTGTCCTGAGAGTATTTATACTGAGGCTCTTTGTCCTCCACATCTGATAGATACAGGCAGCACCGTGTCCCTGCCCTGGCAGCCCTATTCAGGGCTGAAAGGGAATCACCACCCTTCTGTCCATCAGGAAACGTGCGGTTTTCTATTACAAGTTATTTGGCATTTGCTTGTCGGGGTCCATCCCAGGGTGGAACCTGAAGTCACTGCGCTTTAATATCTGACTCACACCATTCAGCAAATACAAAGGAAAAGCAGCAAGATTTTCGTGGATATAGTTAGTGAGGAAGTAGCTGAAATCCAAAGATAACATCTACAGTGCACTCCCGTTCCAATTTCATACCCAGCTTAACATGAACCATGGTGTACAACCAAGCCAGTCCCTTTCCTGGCTCCCTAAAGGCTCAGCTCATCAGCATGAAGTCTGCTCCACAACTGTCAACAGCTCATCAAACCCAAACCCAATGTTACAGCAGAAATATCACAAACTCGGAGTCAGAATCAAGACCCAAACAGCTGGTTTGAACCACACACTGTTTTTTTTTCTGGGCAGCTGTGATTTCTGAGTCCATTCCTTGGGGATATATTTCTTGTTCTCATTAAAAAAAAAAAAAAAAAAGTCTCTGAGACATTGGGTTTACTATCAGTATCTCCTCTGCTGCCACAGTTAGACATGAGCAAATAAATCCGAAGTCTCTTCTCAGCAACGTTTTGTATCCTCAGCTTCTGAGCGGATGCAGGATGTAAGGGGCTGAGTTTGTAGAGATTATTCAAATTGAATTAAAACAAACCCTGTTTGTGGAAAGTTGGCTCAGAAGAGCGAGTTATGCACTATGACTCCAAAACACGTGCAGTGAGATGAGCCAGTTCCTCAAAGCTAGTGCTTCTTTGCTGCTCCAAGGCACAGACCACAGTGCTGGTGCAGTGTCCTGCCTGATACAGGGCTTATGCAAAACATGCCAGCAAAATATCCCCCCTTGTCAGTCTTCACGCATTGCAATGAGATACATGATCCAGTTTATAACATCCAAAGGGCAACAGAGGTTTCAAAACTCCCTCACATGACTGAACAGCTCAAGACTTCAGAGATCAGGCTGGACCACTGCTCTCCATCCAGAAGACATGCCCAGCAGGCACAGGCAGAAGACAAGGAGGTAAAGGGTCCCCCAGCTGTGTTCTGTACATTTAGACTTTGCAGCCAGATAAGACAGTTATTCCTCCCAGACAGGGAAACCATAGCAGGCCAGATGAATACCTTGATCAAAGCCACAAAGAGAAAAGCCACAGTCAAGATGAGAAAGACAGCAACAGGAAAGGCTAAGGCCAAATGATCACAGTAAAGGGGAATTGTTAAGTGCAGGTCACGGCTTCTGTGGGCTGCCTGTGGCCGGTCTACATGACATCTCAACTGGTGTAAACCCCTGGAGCAATTCTGAGGCTTTGACAGGATCCAGAGCAAACTGGAACTAGAACCAGCTCCACCTTCTTCGGGTGCAGCTCATACGCACCAGCTTTACAGATTAGCTTCCCTGGAACATCTCCACCAAGAAAAAAACCCACCTCCTGGCAAGGCTGCCAGCAGCTAAGTCTGTTCCTCTCACCCAGCAACCCATTTCCCTGATTACCGTAACCACAACCTGGCACTCCACTACCATGCTGCCAGGAGATAACCAAGTTGTGTAGCCAGCATAACCCACCCATCTGCACATAAGTACCTTTTTTTTTTTAAATTTAGTTAGTTATGCACTTACTGTGTGCAGCTCGCCAAAGCTCTGACTGCAGCTCGTATAAGCTGACATTGAACCCCCAGGAGCAAGCCTACTCAGGCCTGCTTTCCAAACCCATTTTAGCTAACTTGGGTATGCAGACACTGAGTTTTCAAATCATATGATCCTGCAAATGTCATCAGTGAACTGAAGGTTTTCAGTTGCTAAAGGGCATTTTGAAACATCAATGTCTTCCTTTTCACCATGAAAACTGGATTTCCAAAATCCAGGGGCCTTAAGACCATCTGAATACAAGCTTCTTGAGGGAGACAAGTACAAAGAATTACTTCCTTCACATCTAAGCACCTACCCCCACACACCCTGTCTCATCCAGCTAACACATCTTTCCATGGCCCAAATCCAATCCCAGGCCCACAACATGTCTTTCAGCACCCAGCTCTGCCTGCTGCAGGTGGCCGAAGTGCCTATATATAGCTATGTATAGCTGTAGCCCCCGTGCTCTGGGCGATTGGGAGGGTAACCCCTCCTACACATCACAGAGGGCAAGCTCTAGCCTCCAGACCCTTGCACCCACAGTGACTACACACCCTCAGATCCTGCCACCAAAGATGAGTGGCCTAAAGTGCTCCCTGTTACTGTTAAAAGGTTGCAAAAGTGCTTTAATCTAAAGAAAAAAAAAGGCAAAAAACAAAAACCAACCCAAGAACTAGTCCTAAACAAACAAATCTGAAAATCAAAGCAGTTTAAACATACTCTCTATTGCGGGTTGAAGACCACAGTATTATTTCGTTATTTAAAAAAAGTACATGATCTTGTACATCAATTATCTGACTCTCAAAAGTTACCCTGCAGGTCTGCTGCATAACACTCTAAAAGTATCCGAAAAGGTAGCAACAGAGCTGCCCACGCTTGATCCATCAGCTGAAGACAGTTCTAAAGC